GTTGGGGACCACGCGGGTCTAGATAAAATGGCGGCACCAGCGGAACCACTAGCAGATTGGGTGTCGACGGAATTAAAAAAAAAAAAAGTGTCAGGAGCTGCGGACAGGGGCCGAAGGTCGGAGCCATCAGCGGAATAATCGGCGACCAGCCGAAGGAGGAGGGTGCGCAAGAGCGGGTCGTCAACCGGGATGACGTCGGAAAAAGGGGAGGGGCTAGGAACGATAAGAAAAAGAGGAGAAGTCGGGCGCTGGCGGAAGTTGTCAACGGAACGGAGGAGACGGGCGTGAGACGGGAAAGACGGAGGGTACCCGGGGTGACCCAAGAAGACCATGGATTGAGTGCGACAGCGATAAAAATAAAATAACATAATATCAGATGGACGGGACCGCCCAGGCCAGGAATCCGGATGAAAATGATGAGTGTCGTCGCGGCAAGCGCCGGCGGGAGATGCCGAAGGGAAAATAGGGGGGGATAGAGGTAGAGGAGGCCAGCCAGCAGTCCGGGTTATTCTGGACCAGCCTGGCCAAGAAAAACGAAGTTTCGAGGTGCAAGGGGGTTTCAAACTTGAAGCAGTGGCAGCAAAAAGGAGCCCCCTTTGGCCTTGGGGGTGCCACTACTGCGGTCCGAGGTGCAACGGCCATATGCCGGCTGCAAATCAGGCCTTGGGAAAGGTCCAACAGCTAGAAAAAGAAGAAATAGCTGTTGGACACTTGTCCCAACAGTAAATGAGAAAAGAAAGGAGAAAAAGGGGGGAGAATGAGACAAAGGAGGAAGAAGGAGTGGAGGAAAATGTGCCGCTAGGTTGGAACTGCAGCGGTAGGGACTGACAGATCTCAATGATGACCTCATCCCTCCTAGATCCTAGGAGGGCAGTCCGGATTGCAGAGATAAGGCCCTTGGGCATTATCTCTGCAATAGCTGAATTTAAGCAACAAAAATAAAGAAAAATGCTGATGTGAGTTGGCCGGCTCATTTTTAGGCCTTAGATCTGAAATCTGATCTTGCAGAGGAGGAGATCTACCCATTTTTTTGTGGGCTGACACAAAACGGCTAGCTCCGGAATGAGTTGGCAGCAAAATGGAGGGAAAACCAAGAGAGGGACAAGACAAAACTGCGAATTTGGCCCAAGGTTTGAGACAGGTACATCAAAAAAATTGAAAATCGGAGCAAGGACTCAAATTTGGAGCAAGTGGGGGCTTGGAGTAACTGGGAATGATGAGAACCATAGATCTCAGCCAAATCCAAGGCTGAGATCTGTGCCGCCACTTGAAAAATTGCAACGGGCTACCCAAAGGAGGCCTAGACCAAGAAAAAGGCGAAAAATGGGTCTTAACGCCCTCAATTTTCAGTAAAGGCTGCATTTTGGGAAAGGGTACCCCAAAAGGGAGCACTTTTGGAGGTAAAAAGAGGCCGGGGTAGGCCAAGGGGTAGTCCGAGAAGGTACCAGCCTCTTGGGCTGCATGTACCTGGCCAAAATGAGGCCCAGGTACCCCTGGAGAGGCCAAAACCGAAAATTTGGCCTGTGGGGCACCTCGCTCCACCTAGAGGCACTTGGAGGGGCCTAGAGGTTGGGTGGTGCACCTGTTCCAGCCTATATAAGCTGGAGGTGTAGGCCGCAACTCTCATTTGAGCATGAGAGGTGCCCATGCTGCCCAAATGGGTCCGTGAGTGAGTACTAGTGAAAATAGATCAAGGAAGTGAGAACCGGAGCTAGCATGTAGCATGGCTATGGTGGTAAGGCTAGGAAAGGTGATCTAGAGGCTAAAGAAAGGCAAGGGAGGTGATCCGCCATAACCCTTAGGTTGTGAGGTAGCAGGAGAGGCTGAAAGGGGTCCCCCTAGCCCTTCTAGAGGGAAGGAGTCCGCATCCTTGGAGGTAGGAGTCTACCATAGCTAGAGGAGAGGTGTGAGGGAAGGAGGAGAGAGCTTAGGAGAGAGGAAAAGCCATACTCAGGAGGCTAGGACGAAGCATTGGGACTCCACTGCCTAAAGACCAGCGAGAGGTGAGTAAAAGAGGAGGGAGGCCTCTTCCTCCTTCTTCTTCTTCTTCTTCTTCTTCTTCTTCTTCTTCTTCTTCTTCTTCTTCTTCTTCCTCCTCCTCTTCTTCTTCTTCTCTCCTTCTTCTTTCTTCCTCTTCTTCTTCTTCTTTTTCTTCTTCTTTTTCTTCCTCTTCTTCGTCTTTTTCCTTTCTTTCTCCCTCTCCTCCTCCTCCCCCTCCTCCTCTTGTCAAAACTGCGATTTTTGCTGATTTAGATGGGTGTATGTATTGCGTCTCACCTTGGGATACTTCGCTGATGTTTCCCCTAGTGTAGATGATGTCAAACTTGTCATTTTGTTGATTTGGGTGCCTGTGGATGTTGCGCTTCATCTTGTGATATTTCGGTGTTGTTTCCCCTTGTGTAGATGATGTCAAACTTGTCATTTTGTTGATTTGGGTGCCTGCGGGTGTTGCGCTTCATCTTGTAATACTTCGGTGATGTTTTCCCTAGTGTAGATGATGTCAAACTTGTCATTTTGTTGATTTGGGTGCCTGGGGGTATTGCTCTTCATCTTGTGATACTTCGGTGATGTTTCCCATAGTGTACATGATGTCACACTTGTCATTTTGTTGATTTGGGTGCTGTGGTGTGTTGCGCTTTATCTTGTGATACTTCGGTGATGTTTCCCCTTAGTGTAGATGATGTGAAACTTATCATTTTGTTGATTTGGGTGTCTGGGGGTGTTGCGCTTCATCTTGTGATACTTCGGTGATGTTTCCCCTAGTGTAGATGATGTCAAACTTGTCAT